GACTGCCAGTCCTTGTGTGCAAGAGCCAAGAGGTTTTGGTAAGCAAATGTAGTAGTAAACAAAACAGACAACATTTTGAAGCCTTTCAACTACATTGACATTATTTGAAATGAACACGTTGAGAACAAGAGGCCTCAAAAGCTTTCTGTTAACTGAGGGCAACACTGTACAGTATGGGGTTGACAAAAGGGCTAAAGGTACGACTCTGGTGGGACTCGAACCCACAACCTTTGAATGTCCTCATTTTGCAATCTAGAAGTCCAATGCGCTATCCATTGCGCCACAGAGCCCACATGATTATGTGGTTGGGCCACTTGATGGTTTTTCATCTGGGCATTTCCAACACTGTAATGCTTTTCACTCTGCGGGCAGAAAAGACAGGTGCTCTAGCCTCTGCACAATTTAAACTGGATTCAAGGTCTCAAGGCTCTCTGTCCAAGAACAATCCCAAAGAGCAAAGTCAGCTGGATAGAGGCACCGCTGGGATTCGAACCCAGGATCTCCTGTTTACAAGACAGGCGCTTTGACCAACTAAGCCACAGCGCCTTGATGCTATGATTTGTTATCTTGGGACACTGTCCTTCAACAACAGCTCAGGGATGGTTTGCAAGTGGAAGCAATTGCAAAGGAAGCCTCAGTTTCACCGTTTGTGGTCAGTTCTCAGAAAAGCAAAGAATTGCGAGGGTTCAAGGCCTTGCGAAACAGAAGGGCACAGTCAAAGGCACCGCTGGGATTCGAACCCAGGATCTCCTGTTTACTAGACAGGCGCTTTAACCAACTAAGCCACAGCGCCTGCCAGCCTGTGCACAAAAAAGATGCAAATCGTGGACCAGGACTTGGACAGCATAAACTATGGGGTGGCCAGCCAGCCTCTGTGATTATTGGCCAACCATGTTCAGCTGGACTCCTAGAACCCACATCAAACATGTTTATGGAGCTCCATTCACAAGAGCTGCAAAGACCATCTAAGCAGCGGGAAGAGAAAGGAAGTCTGGCACCACTCTGTGGTGACTGCCAGTCCTTGTGTGCAAGAGCCAAGAGGTTTTGGTAAGCAAATGTAGTAGTAAACAAAACAGACAACATTTTGAAGCCTTTCAACTACATTGACATTATTTGAAATGAACACGTTGAGAACAAGAGGCCTCAAAAGCTTTCTGTTAACTGAGGGCAACACTGTACAGTATGGGGTTGACAAAAGGGCTAAAGGGACTCGAACCCACAACCTTTGAATGTCCTCATTTTGCAATCTAGAAGTCCAATGCGCTATCCATTGCGCCACAGAGCCCACATGATTATGTGGTTGGGCCACTTGATGGTTTTTCATCTGGGCATTTCCAACACTGTAATGCTTTTCACTCTGCGGGCAGAAAAGACAGGTGCTCTAGCCTCTGCACAATTTAAACTGGATTCAAGGTCTCAAGGCTCTCTGTCCAAGAACAATCCCAAAGAGCAAAGTCAGCTGGATAGAGGCACCGCTGGGATTCGAACCCAGGATCTCCTGTTTACAAGACAGGCGCTTTGACCAACTAAGCCACGGCGCCTTGATGCTATGATTTGTTATCTTGGGACACTGTCCTTCAACAACAGCTCAGGGATGGTTTGCAAGTGGAAGAAATTGCAAAGCAAGCCTCAGTTTCACCGTTTGTGGTCAGTTCTCAGAAAAGCAAAGAATTGCGAGGGTTCAAGGCCTTGCGAAACAGAAGGGCACAGTCAAAGGCACCGCTGGGATTCGAACCCAGGATCTCCTGTTTACGAGACAGGCGCTTTAACCAACTAAGCCACAGCGCCTGCCAGCCTGTGCACAAAAAAGATGCAAATCGTGGACCAGGCCTTGGACAGCATAAACTATGGGGTGGCCAGCCAGCCTCTGTGATTATTGGCCAACCATGTTCAGCAGGACTCCTAGAACCCACAACAAACATGTTTATGGAGCTCCATGCACAAGAGCTGCAAAGACCATCTAAGCAGCGGGAAGAGAAAGGAAGTCTGGCACCACTCTGTGGTGACTGCCAGTCCTTGTGTGCAAGAGCCAAGAGGTTTTGGTAAGCAAATGTAGTAGTAAACAAAACAGACAACATTTTGAAGCCTTTCAACTACATTGACATTATTTGAAATGAACACGTTGAGAACAAGAGGCCTCAAAAGCTTTCTGTTAACTGAGGGCAACACTGTACAGTATGGGGTTGACAAAAGGGCTAAAGGTACGACTCTGGTGGGACTCGAACCCACAACCTTTGAATGTCCTCATTTTGCAATCTAGAAGTCCAATGCGCTATCCATTGCGCCACAGAGCCCACATGATTATGTGGTTGGGCCACTTGATGGTTTTTCATCTGGGCATTTCCAACACTGTAATGCTTTTCACTCTGCGGGCAGAAAAGACAGGTGCTCTAGCCTCTGCACAATTTAAACTGGATTCAAGGTCTCAAGGCTCTCTGTCCAAGAACAATCCCAAAGAGCAAAGTCAGCTGGATAGAGGCACCGCTGGGATTCGAACCCAGGATCTCCTGTTTACAAGACAGGCGCTTTGACCAACTAAGCCACAGCGCCTTGATGCTATGATTTGTTATCTTGGGACACTGTCCTTCAACAACAGCTCAGGGATGGTTTGCAAGTGGAAGCAATTGCAAAGGAAGCCTCAGTTTCACCGTTTGTGGTCAGTTCTCAGAAAAGCAAAGAATTGCGAGGGTTCAAGGCCTTGCGAAACAGAAGGGCACAGTCAAAGGCACCGCTGGGATTCGAACCCAGGATCTCCTGTTTACTAGACAGGCGCTTTAACCAACTAAGCCACAGCGCCTGCCAGCCTGTGCACAAAAAAGATGCAAATCGTGGACCAGGACTTGGACAGCATAAACTATGGGGTGGCCAGCCAGCCTCTGTGATTATTGGCCAACCATGTTCAGCAGGACTCCTAGAACCCACAACAAACATGTTTATGGAGCTCCATGCACAAGAGCTGCAAAGACCATCTAAGCAGCGGGAAGAGAAAGGAAGTCTGGCACCACTCTGTGGTGACTGCCAGTCCTTGTGTGCAAGAGCCAAGAGGTTTTGGTAAGCAAATGTAGTAGTAAACAAAACAGACAACATTTTGAAGCCTTTCAACTACATTGACATTATTTGAAATGAACACGTTGAGAACAAGAGGCCTCAAAAGCTTTCTGTTAACTGAGGGCAACACTGTACAGTATGGGGTTGACAAAACGGCTAAAGGGACTCGAACCCACAACCTTTGAATGTCCTCATTTTGCAATCTAGAAGTCCAATGCGCTATCCATTGCGCCAGAGAACCCACATGACTGTGTGGTTGGGCCACTTGATGGTTTTTCATCTGGGCATTTCCAACACTGTAATGCTTTTCACTCTGCGGGCAGAAAAGACAGGTGCTCTAGCCTCTGCACAATTTAAACTGGATTCAAAGTCTCAAGGCTCTCTGTCCAAGAACAATCCCAAAGAGCAAAGTCAGCTGGATAGAGGCACCGCTGGGATTCGAACCCAGGATCTCCTGTTTACAAGACAGGCGCTTTGACCAGCTAAGCCACGGCGCCTTGATGCCAAGATCTGTTATCTTGGGACACTGTCCTTCAACAACAGCTCAGGGATGGTTTGCAAGTGGAAGAAATTGCAAAGCAAGCCTCAGTTTCACCGTTTGTGGTCAGTTCTCAGAAAAGCAAAGAATTGCGAGGGTTCAAGGCCTTGCGAAACAGAAGGGCACAGTCAAAGGCACCGCTGGGATTCGAACCCAGGATCTCCTGTTTACTAGACAGGCGCTTTAACCAACTAAGCCACAGCGCCTGCCAGCCTGTGCACAAAAAAGATGCAAATCGTGGACCAGGCCTTGGACAGCATAAACTAGTTTGTTGACAACTGCGTGGGGGGTGGCCAGCCAGCCTCTGTGATTATTGGCCAACCATGTTCAGCTGGACTCCTAGAACCCACATCAAACATGTTTATGGAGCTCCATTCACAAGAGCTGCAAAGACCATCTAAGCAGCGGGAAGAGAAAGGAAGTCTGGCACCACTCTGTGGTGACTGCCAGTCCTTGTGTGCAAGAGCCAAGAGGTTTTGGTAAGCAAATGTAGTAGTAAACAAAACAGACAACATTTTGAAGCTTTTCAACTACATTGACATTATTTGAAATGAACACGTTGAGAACAAGAGGCCTCAAAAGCTTTCTGTTAACTGAGGGCAACACTGTACAGTATGGGGTTGAAAAAAGGGCTAAAGGTACGACTCGAACCCACAACCTTTGAATGTCCTCATTTTGCAATCTAGAAGTCCATTGCGCTATCCATTGCGCCAAAGCTGGGGAACAATAGTCTGTATAAGATGGGGAAGAATTGACGGGAAGGGGGGCGAGGGGAGGAGAAAAATCACAGAGATCCGAGTTCGATCCCCGCAAGAACATGCTTTTTCTTACTGGGTCCAATTTCTTTTTTATTAATGTCAATATTTATTTAGTGCAATATAAGGAATGCAGTTCAGCATGCAGGCAATTAAGAATGCATTTAATTATTAACACATTGCATTTGGATTTACTTTTTTTCTTCTTTTGATCAAAAGGAGGTACTGAACCACATTTTTTGGGACTTACCAATGATCTAACTTAATAAACACTCAGCATTGATGACCCAGTATTATCAAATGGTAGAATGGAAGAAAATTTAGTCTACTGATATATTGCAGGAATATCTAATAATGATTAATAGTAAACTACCAGTTATTACTGTAAAAAAATGATTTAGAAAATAAAATTGATAAAAAATAAATATACAGTATGGCATTCTGCATGTATCTCTTCTTTTATGTTATTTCACTTTGATCACTCCACATAAGCCTGCTATATCACATCACTGTCACTATCAGCCATTAACAAAACACACAATAAAACAGATCAATAAAATATATTTAATTTTTTTTTTATTCTTTTCACATCGAAGTATAAAACATTTATACACTTTATAATATACATTCAAATAAACAACATTCAACAAAATATGTACAAACAAATCACGTTTGGAATAGTATTTAAAATAAATCACTATTTACAAGTAAAAAGAAAACAAACAGAACTGAACTATATACAAAACATTAACCTAGAGCAAATACAACAGTTTGTGTATATTTTGTGGGCAACACAATGAATCACAATGAAGTTGAATTAAAAAAAAAAATTATAAAATCAAATAATCAAATCAAAAATAGTGCAATTATTTCGGTATCACTTTTGCAAAACAACTAAATATTTTACTATAATAAAACAAAATCTTCACAACATAAAATACAATGATGTACTATTTTCTCATCATTCTCAGCCACTGCTCTTTGGTTAGGGTCTCCCTGTTTGGGCAGTAAATTCTGCCTTTGAACTGGCTATGGCCGGTGTCTGTGGTGCGTGGCTCTCCACATTTAGTGCATCTGTTGGATGTGACTGTTCTAGTGTATTTACGCTTTTCTTTTGGTGGAGTGTCTTGCATTTGACAAGGGCCAGTTGTGCTCTCAGAATGTGGTGTGCAAACTCTACTGGGTGCCGTGGTCTGGGGTGGTGGCAGAAGCAGAATGCTACTTGCTGTTGTGGTTGGTGGCACTATTAGTGGCATGTAAAAAACTCCTGGCTGAGCTGTATGTTGTTTTGGCTGTATGGTTCTCAGCTCAGCTCTGTCTTTGACAACTAGCTTGGTTTTTGCCCACCCAGCCGTGTCAGATGGCATGTTGTAAGTGTGTTCATGCATGTGTGGTGTGACTTGAGTGGGCCTAGTGTTTACTGGGAGTAATGGTTCACTGGCAACAGGGCGTTCATCAGGCAGTACCAAACCTTGCATCAGAATTGCAACTTCTTGTGCCTTGAATCTTTTGTTATGCCACTGTATCAACGTGGTCTGATTTACGGTGACAAGTTGCAGAGTTGTATCTTTCATAATAATGCCATTGATTAAAATGAGCTGTCGAATCTTTTTATAATCATTTAGAATTAGTGACCATCTTGAAAGGTTTTGGTGTCCAATTTTCTTGGGGCTATTATGAATGTTGCACAATCTGATAAATATTGTTTCTACAAGACGGCTGCAGTTTGGCCACTGAGCAGCTGAACCAGTAGAACCAAGTACACACCTTTTTGTGCTTTCAACTCCTGAAAATACAGCCTTCTTTTTCGGAGACCTAAACCGACCAGTGAGCAGTCTCTCCTGATGTCGAGCAGCGTAAGAAATCCGGTCCTTATCGTGTTGCTCCAAGTTCTGCCAAAGACCCACAATGGTGCTGGCCTGCTGATTGGTAAGAGTGAGGCCTTTTTCATTTCTTAGCTCCACCAAGTATTCCGCAAGCTCATCAACACGATCCATTCCTGGCAAACTCTGTTCATCCACGGCCTAGGAGGAAGTATTACATTAGATTTGAAGTATTTCAAGAAGGTCAAACATAAATAAATATAATGCATACTCGTATTTCTCTTACAACTTGCTCTGAAGATGTAGATTGTCCAGGTAACCCAGACGGGGCCCCCAGTAGGTGAGTGGACTGGACAGGAGGAGCGGGTGCAGATGGGACACCCAGCAGGTGAGTGGACTGGACAGGAGGAGCGGGTGCAGATGGGACACCCAGCAGGTGAGTGGACTGGACAGGAGGAGTGGGTGCAGATGGGACACCCAGCAGGTGAGTGGACTGGACAGGAGGAGCGGGTGCAGATGGGACACCCAGCAGGTGAGTGGACTGGACAGGAGGAGTGGGTGCAGATGGGACACCCAGCAGGTGAGTGGACTGGACAGGAGGAGTGGGTGCAGATGGGACACCCAGCAGGTGAGTGGACTGGACAGGAGGAGCGGGTGCAGATGGGACACCCAGCAGGTGAGTGGACTGGACAGGAGGAGCGGGTGCAGATGGGACACCCAGCAGGTGAGTGGACTGGACAGGAGGAGCGGGTGCAGATGGGACACCCAGCAGGTGAGTGGACTGGACAGGAGGAGTGGGTGCAGATGGGACACCCAGCAGGTGAGTGGACTGGACAGGAGGAGCGGGTGCAGATGGGACACCCAGCAGGTGAGTGGACTGGACAGGAGGAGTGGGTGCAGATGGGACACCCAGCAGGTGAGTGGACTGGACAGGAGGAGTGGGTGCAGATGGGACACCCAGCAGGTGAGTGGACTGGACAGGAGGAGTGGGTGCAGATGGGACACCCAGCAGGTGAGTGGACTGGACAGGAGGAGTGGGTGCAGATGGGACACCCAGCAGGTGAGTGGACTGGACAGGAGGAGCGGGTGCAGATGGGACACCCAGCAGGTGAGTGGACTGGACAGGAGGAGCGGGTGCAGATGGGACACCCAGCAGGTGAGTGGACTGGACAGGAGGAGTGAACTGACCAGAAATCTCAGGAGCACAAGAGGCAGGTAGCACTGAGATCATATCAGATGTGTCCAAAAGTAAATCAGCAAGAGTGACCTCAATGTGTTCAAGTTCTTCAAAGCCCTCATCAGTCTCTACTGGCTCTTCCAACTGCTCCAGCAATGTATTTGCCTCCTCGGAGTCTGGCGCCATACACTGTAGAGGTTCATTGTTCTGCCTCAACAGGTACTGCACTCCAATCAGTTCACCTGAAAAAGCAAAACCAATTAAAAAAAAACTACATAGAAACAGAAACAGAACTATGAGCATAAACATACAATATTACATATGAATACCTGTGTACTTTGCGGGTGGTGTAAAAGAAGGAATCAGCTTCCTGCCAAAAACCTTCTCATAATCTTTATTCACACTGTGAACCAGCTCGCCCGAGTATGTGCGCAGGCCAGAGGCCTCTGCCTCCAGAGCAGCTGCTGCCCTGTTGTGGTTCCAGCGATGTAGCCCATCTAGTAGGTAGATCTGGAAGTTGAGCGAGTTTGCACTGTTTCCTAAAGTAAATATATATATATATAAAAAAAAACGGCAAAAAGGAATAAGGTAAAGTATTTCTGTTAAACATAAACATTATTGAGTTGAACGTACCTGGAATGAACCGGTTTAAGTGACAGTGGAATGACTCCAAAGATGTCGAACCTCTGGCACAGCGCAGTGTCTGCAGTTGAACTCCTCCCTTGGTGATGGTTCCAGTCTGTGTGTACAGAGCCACACCAGGTGGGTCCTGAATGCACTTAACATGTCTCTTCTGAACACGCCAGATGTGCTGCATTCTGATGGGGTCCAGAAGAGCAACACCAAGGGCATCCTTACCCTTGTCACTGATGAGCTCACTGATGAGCTGATCCAACAGCTGGATGGTTTGGTCTTCTCCACGAGTCTTCCTCCTGCAGTGCAGCTCTAACTCTTCTTTTTTTATTTGCCGATCTAGCTGCTTCTCCGTCAGAGCCATCAGGCCTTGCTCTTTTAGCTGTGCTCTTTTTGCCTCTCTCAACTTGTTGACATCAGCAGCATCCCACTCAAAAATACATGCTGACATGCGAGCCATGAAAGTGGGATAGAGCTGGTGTGCATCAGTGGTGCATCCCACAGCCAGACGTCGCATAAAGTGCCAGATGTCGAGGCGAACAATCAAGTTAGGCCATCCACCAAATCTGGCCTTCAGCTTGGTCTCACCCATATCCTTGCAGCAGCCACAGTCCACATAGAGAGCAACAGGAGGGTCTACACCTGCAGCTTTATACCTGCGAGAAATAATTATCAAAAGTAATTAAAGAATTTCATCATCAAACAACAGTAAATTACAAATGCAAATTGTAAATAGTAAATTCTAAACTAAGGACAAGTTAAATTACATGTAAGTGAAATGTGTATTACAGGTAACATACCTGTCTACCAAGCCAGCTGCCATAAGATCCAAACCTGGTCCCTCACCAGCAGTCAAGACACTGATGAGCACTTGACCCATCTCGTTACCAACGGATGTCAGCCACTGTGCAGTGCCTTTTGCTGGTCCTGAAAGCTTTTTGGTGATCTGAAACAAACATATATATTGAACCAATAGTAGCAACACCTTCAATGGTTCTATTGCATGAATATAGAGCTTATGCGTGTAACGTCATAAAAAATTGAGTGGCTATCTCTGCAATGTTATTCTTGTTTTAATCTTTGAATTGTCCCTCAATTTGACATTTCATCTTATGTTATTGTTTAAGTTGTTCATTCATTTGAGGTTCCATTTCTATTTAGAAATAAATATAAACAGAATCTGCATAACTTCAATACAATAATAATTAAAGAGGTACCTTTCTGGTGGAATCCAGTTTTAAGATGGATCCATAAGTGGAGGTGATACTAGCCTTGATATCCTCCAGCCTGAACAGGATGTCTTGGCTGTACACCACTGAAAGCCACTTATAGCTGGGAATTGCCACAGGTTGGGGAGGCTCTTCAAATGCTGGCGGCATCAGGCAACTTTTGCTGGTAAAAGAAGCACACTCGCTGGTATACCGCGCAACCCTTTTCAGCCACTCTTCACTGTGGTTCTCTTTCAATTGGCCAATCAGTCGGACAGGGCCATTCCCCAGACCACGTTCCCGTAGGAGGCGTATCACCCTGATGTCACAGGCATACCTGTAATAATAAATAAATTAAATATACATGGATAAGCAATTAACAAAAATCACACAATAATGCAACATACCGGCGGGTAAGAATGACCCTAAACTCAGAACGATGGGCCATGTCCAGCTGCTCAAGTATTTCCCTATTCCAAGACAGGTAGCTGCGGCGGCACTTGGAGCAAATCAGAGTCTCTGTGACCAGGTTGTAAAAGCGGTCAATGTCAAGGACCTGACGCACCCGTCTGTGAAGACCTCCACTAGTCAGAGGGCTTTTACAGGCTTTGTCCGCGCACAGCAGCCTGACTTTCCACAGCCTATACGGCATCCACAGCAGTAAGAGATGGGCAAAAAATCTGGCTGATGTTGGCGCCTGGTGGTAAATAAGGGATGGCTGTGGAGGGAAATACCACAACTGGAGATGGTCCTGGAGTTCCAAATTCCCACGAGCACCAACTCTGAACAATTCTGTGGAGACCCATTGGTGATCCTCCTGGGGCATGGTTTTAGGCCACAGGAGAGGAACTGCAGCAGAGTGCTCAGGTCGGAATGTGCTCTGCGGACACAGAAAAGGACAGGTCAAATAAAGACTAAAAAATACTAACCAAACATAGTAACAAGTGCTGCAATGTTTTACCACATTCACTCCTAAACTCTGCCCCTCCACTGGCCGATGAAGTTGTTTTGGAGGCGGTAATGGAGGAGCAAGAAAAAATGATTCTGCACTTGGAGGCTGTGGTGGAGAGATGGTTTGAGGAGGACCACCTGCTAGCACTGGAGCCTCACACACATGGGCAGCTATATTTGTAGCAGTGGTTGAATGAGTCTAAAAATACAAGGTAAAAAAAAATATTGTATCATTGGAATTTTTTTTGTAGCAAAGAAATAATAATTATTCATTACTTACATGAGCTTTCCGTCCAACATGTAAATTTGGCTTTGCACTCTCCACATGCTTTCCACCAAATCTGGACCTTTCAAACTTAAAGAGAGAAGTATTAATATGACAATTGTGAACCATTTTAAAACACATGTCATCATATGTACCGAAGAAAGGGTGAGCTTGGGCCTTTTCACCAAACTTGCAGATGTAGTGTCAGCTGTGGGACGTTCTACTGGAGCAGTGGTTGAGAGCTGAAATATGACAAGAATATAAAATATTTCCATTATGAATTCTCTCTCACATAAAGCTATAAAATCTACCTACCATTAAGGAGCTACGTTGATCACTAGTTAATTGGTCTGCACTGCTTGTGGGTTTAGATGAGGCTGTAGGCACTTGCTGCAGCATAACAAAAATGTATAAAACAGTGCATATATACAGTATGAAATACAGTATGAAAGATTTAGAAAGATGATGGACAAAATCACCAGTGATTTAAAGAAAGCACAATACTACTGTTCTATTCTATGTTAATAGTATAAACAATAATGTATAAGAACCCCTTTCATGCAAATGACGTGACAAATTTAGATGTGGGTTTTTTATTCAGTTATTAGTGATGTAGTTTTAACCTTATGACCTTCTTTTACCTACTTCGCAATTTTCTCTGCTGTGGAACAGACCTGTTGCCAAACCAACCCAGATAGAAACAACAGAAATTGTCCAAGAATACATTAATGTTAAGAAATACCAATTCTTTATATTGTGTGCACACTGCATTAACTGTAGTTAAATTGAAAGATCCCTATTTGCCTACCTTATGAGGATGAAATCCACACAAACACCTCTGTGGCTGGGAGAAAAGCGTCCACTGGCCTCTCAGCTGCAGAGGGCACTTCTCTATCTGTAAAAATAAAGAAAAAAAAGAAAAAAGATGCCACTTACTTGAACTTTATTTATTTGAACAAGTTCTTGTTTTATGCTCATACTGTACATACTGAAAATATAATGTCTACTACTCAAAATTAAAAAAAACGAATAATAATAATAATAATAAAAATATACATATATTCCTTTTGATATTATAATAAATATATATATATATATATATATATGTGTGTGTGTGTGTGTGTGTGTGTGTGTATTCCTTTTGATACTTTTTCTACATACCTTCTGATACAGACTGTACCACTTCTTTTGCCTTGGAGCAGGTCGGTTACCTGCATCTGATGGCCAGACACCCGTGGAGGCAAAAGACCTAAAGCGCGAGACCCACTCACTATCATCCATAGCCTTGTGGCTTTTGGATTGTTGTTTGGACATTTTTTCTGTAATGACATATACGCAGTTCTATTCATGTTATAGTGTAACAATTACATTAAGTCATTATAAGGACCCAACATGAGTGATTACAGAGATGTTTTACGGAGGCAATCTTACTATTCCTAAAATACAGAAAACGTAAGCCATTTCATTAACAATAAATATAATAACTATAAACAACAAAACATACCTGAGAGGAACATAAATAACAGCGGGATAATAACTTTAGCCTTTAGCGGTGTTTGTGCTCAAGATTGACAATAACTGACTATGTGCGGTGATTGGTGTATGAAAAATGGACATTGCCATTTCATTGGATGGCCAAAAAAATAGAACATGAGAGGAGATTGGATGGAATCTGCTCACGCTCAAAGATGGACAAAAATGGACTATGCGCGGTGATTGGTCTATGAAAAATGGACCTTGATATTTCATTGGACGGCGAAAAATGGAGCTCGTAACGTAATTGGTTTATTAAAGATGGAGCTCGTCATTGTATTGGATAGATTTTACAGACGAACGGCTGTCAGGTAGCGCCACAGAGCCCACATGATTATGTGGTTGGGCCACTTGATGGTTTTTCATCTGGGCATTTCCAACACTGTAATGCTTTTCACTCTGCGGGCAGAAAAGACAGGTGCTCTAGCCTCTGCACAATTAAAACTGGATTCAAGGTCTCAAGGCTCTCTGTCCAAGAACAATCCCAAAGAGCAAAGTCAGCTGGATAGAGGCACCGCTGGGATTCGAACCCAGGATCTCCTGTTTACAAGACAGGCGCTTTGACCAACTAAGCCACAGCGCCTTGATGCTATGATTTGTTATCTTGGGACACTGTCCTTCAACAACAGCTCAGGGATGGTTTGCAAGTGGAAGAAATTGCAAAGCAAGCCTCAGTTTCACCGTTTGTGGTCAGTTCTCAGAAAAGCAAAGAATTGCGAGGGTTCAAGGCCTTGCGAAAAAGAAGGGCACAGTCAAAGGCACCGCTGGGATTCGAACCCAGGATCTTCTGTTTACGAGACAGGCGCTTTAACCAACTAAGCCACAGCGCCTGTGCACAAAAAAGATGCAAATCGTGGACCAGGCCTTGGACAGCATAAACTATGGGGTGGCCAGCCAGCCTCTGTGATTATTGGCCAACCATGTTCAGCAGGACTCCTAGAACCCACATCAAACATGTTTATGGAGCTCCATTCACAAGAGCTGCAAAGACCATCTAAGCAGCGGGAAGAGAAAGGAAGTCTGGCACCACTCTGTGGTGACTGCCAGTCCTTGTGTGCAAGAGCCAAGAGGTTTTGGTAAGCAAATGTAGTAGTAAACAAAACAGACAACATTTTGAAGCCTTTCAACTACATTGACATTATTTGAAATGAACACGTTGAGAACAAGAGGCCTCAAAAGCTTTCTGTTAACTGAGGGCAACACTGTACAGTATGGGGTTGACAAAAGGGCTAAAGGTACGACTCTGGTGGGACTCGAACCCACAACCTTTGAATGTCCTCATTTTGCAATCTAGAAGTCCAATGAGCTATCCATTGCGCCACAGAGCCCACATGGTTATGTGGTTGGGCCACTTGATGGTTTTTCATTTGGGCATTTCCAACACTGTAATGCTTTTCACTCTGCGGGCAGAAAAGACAGGTGCTCTAGCCTCTGCACAATTTAAACTGGATTCAAGGTCTCAAGGCTCTCTGTCCAAGAACAATCCCAAAGAGCAAAGTCAGCTGGATAGAGGCACCGCTGGGATTCGAACCCAGGATCTCCTGTTTACAAGACAGGCGCTTTGACCAACTAAGCCACAGCGCCTTGATGCTATGATTTGTTATCTTGGGACACTGTCCTTCAACAACAGCTCAGGGA